AAGCTCTTTTCTCTGTGTGTGTGTGTGTGTGTGTGTGTGTGTGTGTGTGTGTGTGTGTGTGTGTGTGTGTTAACACGCATCCAGGCCTATTTATGTATTTATTTGTTAATGAAACTGTTATGTTCCTATATTTAGTGTAAACGTATTATTATTATTATTATTATTATTATTATTACTAAATATATAATAGTAAACAAATCTTTTATTGCATTACTTATACGGTAGGCCTACATAAATGTACACTGTTGTCTGAGGCCTGTCACGTGACGTGCACAGTCGGCCAATATTTTTTCTTTAATATAGTGTAAATTTGCAATAATCAAAATGCATAGCTTTTATTTCGTGTCCATTGTCTCGCAGTCTCTGATGATTTATCTCAGTCAGATCCCGGGAGCTCCACGAGGTCAAAGCCCTCTCTGAGCAGATCTAGCTGTGCTTCTCCTGCTGCTGATGAACTCGAGCTCGAGAAACCGAGGAGGGTCTGCCACGTGCTTCTCTAAAGCTGAGTGCTGTCTGTTCTATCAGGGCTCAGGTCACTACTGTACAGCTGCAGGTGTTCAGCCAGATTCACACTCAGAAACTCATGTGATATCTGATCTCTGGGCTGGAGAAATCTATGAAAAGATGATTCTCAAACTAGACTTGGAAACATTTAGACTCAAACAAATGTGTGCAATTTGCAGTTTATTTTTATTTGTACTTTTACTTATTATTATTATTATTATTATTATAGCTTATATCAGAATTGACAATAAACTAAGTTGGACTTACTCATCACAGTTAAATCAGACTTTTACAGATGAACTAAATCACGTTTCAGGTGTGACATGTGGTGTGTGTGTGTGTGGCGTGTGTGTGGCGTGTGTGTGTGTGTGGATATCTGCCCGTCTCTATAGTCAGAGTATGATTGCTCAGTCTGTACCTCGTCATCTGTCTTCTTAATTTACAGTCTTGCACTGTACTCAGATATTCTGCAGCTGTGTAATCTCTATTTAGGGCCAAATAACATTAAAGTTTACTTTGTGTTTCTGTTGTTTCAGTCCAATAGGTTAGATCATTTTCTTTTTGTGCTTTTATAATTTGGTTGGGCCGAATCAAATTTTGGATGTACTGTTCTTTCTTTTTTCTGAGTGTACTTTTATACCGTTTAAGTTCTTCACAATATTGATGGCATAAATCTTCATTGTTTGGTTGTCTGTGTTTTTGATTTGATAATTGTCTTAATTTTTTCCTCATGGTTTTACAGCCTAAATCAAACCATTTTTCATTTTCTTGTGTTGTTTTATGGATTTTATTAGAGGATGTGAGGTTAGATAAATTGACCAAATATTTAAATATATAATTTATGTTCTCCACTGCCATTGTGAGGATAAATTCTTCCTAGAAAATTGTCAATAAGTAGGCATACTTTTGGATGGCCAGTTGCGGTCACATTTTTCTGTGCTGTTTTGTGCATGAGTTGTTCAGTGTGCTCCTCTGTACTCTGAGGATACTCTTACAGAACTCAGCATGCAGGGCTTCAATTGGATTTTTGTCCCATTTTTCGAATTTGTGATTTAGGAGAGGACCCCACACTTCACTGCCATATAATGCAA